CAACTGTATTTTCTGCACGGGTCTGCCCCAGAATTTCATTTTTCTGTGCACATGTGTTTGGCTTACTGCTTTTCCCTGGACATCTGCACGTAGCTTGTGCTAAATATTCAGACACCCCCGGCAATATCGTTGAAACCAAATGATAGCCATACAATGCTCATTTTCAGTTGATTTCCCCCATCCAAGCTAAACAGTGTGGGTGGAGGAACTTCCAATGCCAGATACAGTATTCACCCGCAGCTGCCTGAATATGATGGCGCCGACGCACACAATGATTGCATCTGTGCAGCCGATAATTTTCCACCCAGCACAGTTGACTTTTAGATTTACTTTTGTCCAAGCGAGTTGTGTGTGCTGGGCCACCCAAGGCTCCAAATTTAGAGCAGTCTATGGCCAGCGTAACTCGGGTAGCTCCATTATCGTTGAAATTACGCAAACTGATAAAGGAGCTAGTGCTTCCTATTTGCAGGGCATGAGGAACCGAGTTTTTCTCGCCTTAATCCATTGTCCTAGGGACTTCCTCCCAGCCAGTACCAGTTGTGACGAATGGGTCCCTGAAGCTATGCTTGTTGCCGTTCACTGACTGGTCTTGTTGCTCTCGTTATCACGTACAAAGCATGAGGGTTGGCTAAGGTATGTATTACACCACAGACAACACAATCCTTTATCACCTGGGTGGGGAGACCACTTTAATGATTTTGGAACCGCTCAGTGTTGGGCTTTTTGTTTAATACAATAAGCCATTGCATGGTACTGCTCTAGTGTAAATCCCAGCCTGGTTCACTGTTCACAAACAATGCTCAACCTAGTCATATCACTTACACATATATCCAGTCATGTGTGGGGGAACTAAATCACCTGCCTATTCACTTGTCAAGTGTCAGGAGAAATAGGATTATTTTTTTTACATTGTTGGTGTTGGTAGAGTTTTATGGTAGAAGAGACCTTGCCTCTTGCGTCCTCCTAAATTGTACAAGGACTGTCAGGCATGCACCATGCAGAGTATACTCCAGGCATCTGTAAGATTCCGACAGTACGAGCTGGGTGCTAGAACAATGCAGCACATCAATGACCACCTTATGGCTAAAGAAAGCAGGCACCAGCCTGGAATAAGGATCCAAGAAGATGAAAACGAAGCGGGGGACTTGTGAACCTTGCATCGCTGTAGGAGGGCAAACTTGCAGGTTTTTATGACGTGCTCCGTGGGCCCTGGAGACTTCAGTTCCACTTTAATTTATCAATCACACCGAGCGTGTTTCATTTTCAATGAGCTGGTAGATCCAGACTTGCATGGTAACAAGGATCACTAAAGAAAGAGCTGTGTAACACTACAAAGCTGTGTTTGAGCAAATATGGCTGTCCCTATTTTAAACCAGAAGTAGAACCGGGGTTTCTCAGACTTTTACACACAATGGTTTTTTACACCAGTTTCTACATGTATATTTTAAAGTCGATGTAAACCCTCTTACCGTTTTCACATGTAGCATGTTGCCTTAATTAAAAGTGCTAACGTCATGTCTGCTTTTCGCCAGCATTCATCATCACTGCGAAGTACCTGGAGTGCGTCACGGTTTTCATGTACTTCCTGTGCTGCCTGGCGTGCACATAGCCACAGGAGCACACTTCTATTAGCAATGGTGTTAAAGTGTACATGTGCAAGCACTGGGTACACCGTTTTGGTTTTTGACCGTACGCACACAAATGTGAAAGAACTGTACATTGCCTCTAAAGAGATTATTCTCTCTGTTCTAGTGCAATTTGTATTCCCAGCCTTGCTTGTCCTATAACCTGTGAATAGGTTGTACCTTTTTACTGGCTGAAACCTGCTGTTTAGATTTCAAACTTGTCATACTGAACTTTTATCCTTCGGTGTTCAAATAAAGAATTCTTTAAAGTAAAAAGCTGCTATAGTACATTTTCAGTAAGTGCTCCTTTTGTGTTGTAGAATTAACCTGACGGTTATGGTTTATGTGACATACGTTTTTACTTGAAGGCTGTACTGGAATGACTGCTGAGATGAAAATCAATTACTGGATAAACATCCTAGAGCTAGCATACTGTTGAGTGAAATGTTACACTCCCATGCTGACCCATCGAGTTTAAGAGGAATAGTAAAGCGTAATCACTGTTCTGTGCTACTAAGGATAGCGTGGATATTTAAAAACAAAATATGTCCGCCCTCCTGTACCTATATAATTACAAAAACAAGGTATTAAAAGATTAATAATATTGGAAAATAATGTTTCCAATTTAGGGCAAAATGGCAGGTTCTCCTAAAAAGTGAACCCCCACCTACTGATACTTACCTTTGTTGCACTGCCCTGCTTCTCTGTTGGAGCTCTCGAGAAATATCTGGTGCATCTCTGTATGGGAGCACATGACCTTCCCTTCCTCCCGTGATTCAGTGCTTGGACCAGAGTGGGCAATTGTCAGGACTGAACACTGTCATATCTTTTACATTGTAAGCCCTCAGGGGCAGGGCCCTCCTTACCATCATGTCTTGAATTGTATTGTGATTGTAATGTCTTCCTTATATTGTAAAGCGCTGCGCAAACTGTTGGCGCTATATACATCCTGTATAATAAGGGAGGGAAAGAAGCCCTTAACCCTCTGTAAGCTCCAGGACGGAGCTTACAAAGGATTTGAACTTCTGCTCCATTGGTGAAAGAGATTGGTGGGCAAGGGTGTAGGGAGGGCAAGTATCACTTGGTGAGGGAGTTGTTGTTTCAAGAGAACTGATCACTATGCACTAAATGGATAATGTGACTGTCTTCTTACAGCCACAGCCCTTAGGGCTAGCACAGTTGTACAGGCTCCTCTTCTGTGCTGAAAATGTTTGCGCTGATTTCACTGCACACTGTGAGCTTCTTACGATGTGCATTAGAAGCTGCATAACGTTAGAGCTTGCCTAATTTTCTAGCTGTATGATGTCCAGCATAATCTAGCACTTTCTTCTCCAGCCTTACGGTCCCTAGCCTGCCCCTTTTATTCATTGGATTTCAGTTTTCAGGCTCTGCATCACGCATGGACATTACCCCAGGCCATTCTGCATTCAAATGTGCTGTGTTTAGAAAAGCCCACTCCTCCAAACTGACATCCACCCATCAATGCAGTTTGATATTTTCATAATTCCTCCTAGGAGCCAGCCCACTGCTTGCATCAGGTTTTGGGGGCACTTTAGGAATACTAAGGCATGGTGCTATGATGTTTTCAGGAATATTTCCAGTCATGGTCTGCCTACATTGCATTGAGAAACGGAGACCCATGTAATCAAAATGGAAAGGCTTTATTTGAAAATGTTACTAGTATTTTAATGGGGGGGGTGTAAGCCAAGGAAAGGAAAATATAATCCGTTTAAACTTCAGCTTTAAAAAGGAGGAGGAGAAAATGGAGCAACCTGCTTTATATCCTTAATGACTGGATGACCTTCAGGAAAAACACAGTGGTTTCTGCCTCGTGTCTTAGTGCATTTTATCTCACACAAGTGCTCTTCCAGCCCACATGCTTGACAAAAGCTGGTGTAGGCACAAAATATTGGGTGGCTATTGTTGGGTGACTATTGTTGACTACAGAATTGTCATTTCTGTACTCCGGTGGAGGTCATATTTTCTGCATCAGAACTCCAAGTTGTGCTTTACACTGTGTCAACAGGCAGAGTGCTTAATCAGCGGGGGTAGGCAACCTTTTCTGCATCAAGTGTCAATTTACAAGCATTAGTCAACCCGGCATGCCAGTAAATAGAGCACCTTTGTATTTATTTTCATATTTTTTACTTATGTGTTAAACTTGCCATTAGCAGTACAACTATATCAATAGGTGTACACACAAAAGATGTTCATATTTACTGTTAGTGTGTACTGCACAGTAAACTGGACTCCTAGTGTGATACCTGTCCCTTTTTTCCACAGCTTAGTTGTGCTTTGTTCGGCCTGTAGGATGATAATTTTAGCTGCACACATGTTTCTTAATTATCGTTTGTAATTTAGCTTAGAGATGGACTTAACACTGTGTTCAGGTGTTTAAAAAAAATCTGTTTGCACATACACCAATCCGTCATAACAGCGTGAACACCCACCTAATATTGAGTAGGTTAAAGAAACGTGATTCATCAGGCCAGGCCACCTTCTTCCATTGCTCTGTGGCCCAGGTCTGATGTTCACAAGCCCATTAAGGACTGCTGTGGATACAGGTCACTATGGGCACCCTGACTGGTCTGCAGCTATGCAGCCCCATATGCAACAAACTGCAATGCACTGTGTGATCAAACCCCTTTCTATCGGAACCAGCATTCACTTTTTCAGAAATTTGAGCTACAGTAGCTCTTCTACTGGATCTAACTGCACAGACCACTTTTGGAAGGTTGAGAACATCCCACAAGAGCTGCAGTTTTTGAGTTGCTCTGACCCAATTGTCTAGTCATCAGAATTTGGCCCTCGCCAAAGACGCACAAATCCTTACACTTGACCATTTTTTCTGTTGCTTCCAACACATCAACTTCAGAGACGAAATGTACACTTACTGCCTCATATATCCCACCCACTTCCATTGTAACAAGATAGTCCTTGTTAATCACTTCCCCTCTCATTGGTGTTATGTTATGGTTAATCGCTGTATATGTGGAACCAAATGCAGAGAATTTGTCTGGTAAACTCACTATGCTGCAGAATAGATATTGAAAAAGCTTTGCTACAGTTCTAATGAGAAATATGAAAACCTTTTGTAGATGTTTGACTATCAATCTTCTAGGTACCACTGCAAATGGATTTGCATGCCTATATGATGACACACGTGCCTTGGGTCGCTGACTCCTTATCTATCATCTTCGTGTTCTCTGGAGTGCTTTATGGAGTAGCCATTTAGTGTTGATGCCCATTTCACAGCAGACCTGCAAGCTTGCAGTTTAATGTTTTAAGTGATTTACGTAACCATGAGTTGTCTGCTTCTGTGAAGGGCCACCAAATATTACTGAATTTTAATTCCTGCTCTATTCCTGCACACAGTAATCATCTGGAGAAGAGCCTTCAGCTCCTTATGGACCGGGTGGATGACATGAGCCAAGACATTGTGAAATTCAACACGCATTTAAGGAACGCCAGCAAGCAGCAGCAGCAAAAGCACCAGGTATGTCATCAGCAGGCATTAAAGCGTAACCTCAGCCTAACGGCTAAGAACCCAATTGAAATTCATGTGCAAATATTTTTCTGTGAAATGTTTTTGAGTCTCGCAAAACAGATTTTTTTTTCTTATTAAACGGCCATGCTAAATATGCTTTAAAATGGGAAGCCTAGTCTCAAAAGTTCTGTTATTATTGAAGATCTGTTCCAAGAAACAGGTAAAAGCAGTCAATGAGGTATTAAATGGCAACAAGTGAACTCTGTAGCTGTGTTCTAATTAGATGAGTTTACCTTACAGGAAACATTTAGGGCTCGTTCACACTAGGCCGCATGTTGAAGTGTTCAGTTTTACCATGCAGGCTAGTGTGGTGTGACAGGTGTGGTGGGTGGACGGTGTTTCAGCACTGGTTCTTTTTTTCATTGTATTTGGAGTGTGAAAAAATGTACGCTCCATTCAGGTCCTCACACGGCAGTGTGGTGACATCATGTCTGTTTGTTTACACCACACTTCACATGCACATTGCTGTGTGAACAGGGTGTACAAGCAGTTGTTTTCCATGTGCCCTGGTGGTGACTGGAGGAGTTCAGTTGCTGAAAATCTCTAGTCACCGCTTATGGTGTGAACAAGTCTTTAATGAGTGGTTAGGAGGCTGCAGTTATTGGCCTCTCCTTCTGAAAAAGCTTGCCTTCTTGCCCTCTCACTTTCTTCTGGATCACTGACCTGGGACAAGCAGCTATAAGCATCCTGATTTTAAGAACTTATTCCAGGTCAGTGACACAGAAAGTATTGAATATAGCAGGTCAGCATAACAGCCAGGCAACTTGCAGACAAGCAATGGCAGGCCCAGCCCTCATAACATGTTTAATCTGGTTTATATATAACACAACTAGTGTTTCTGCTACAAGATGTTCACACACCATCTAACAGGGTCAGTAGAATTGTTCTTTGTGGAGCGTGTGCTGTGTAGCACCAATCACATTCAAACTTTTAAGGCAGGTTTGAATTTGACCTGTGGCTGTGAGAAGCTTTGGCTGCAGGCATTTTTTTAAAGTCTGATTTTCTATATGTGAGGCAGAAAGGAGCCAACATCTGGTGCTTCCTTAGCTAATGCTAGCCATGCATTGCTTGAAAGTACTTTGGTAGAAAACTGTTGGTCAATCAGTGACCGTGTCCACCCTGATAGTCAGTCTTCAGATATTCAGGCACCAATTTTCAGTACAATTCCAGGCAGGGAAGCCTCGTCCATCCACGTTGTAGACTGATTTCTCTTGTTCACTCCATGGGGCCATACAACTAGTCTTGTATGGCTAGCTTAAAGCATGTGGGTCCAAGGATCACCTTATTGCTGACTAAATGGGTTTGTGGGATTCTACTGAGCAGGTAGGCTCACTGGATCCCTGGATTATAAGGATTATTTTTCAGTTTTCACTAAAGTGTACTTTTACAGTGACCCAAGGAGAGTCTTATATATTTGCCTCGTTCCCCCTTTTTTGATTAGGGTAGGGTCATGCCACTTCGAATCAGGCATGTTGTCCTGGTGAGGACGGTTTACTAACATTGTAGGCCAAACATAACTGATTGGCCCATGGGTGACACTCCATCCTCCTTGGTGCCTGTGGGGGAGGGGTGTTGGGTGGGGAGGTTCACATTGCTTCAAGCCTAATAACTGTAGAGATTTTGAATATCACCAAAGGGACAGGTTGGGACCTGATTCTCGTAACTTTTACAGTAGCCATGCTACAGATGCCCCTTCCCCCCCCTCCTCCCCCCCTTACACACACACACACACACTAACTGGGAAATAAATTGCTTCATGGTGGGGTCTAAGACTTATAATAACACTAACTAGTCAGACATTCAAAAAAAAAAATGATTCTCTTCTGTCCAGACTCGTGTTCTCTTTTTATGTTCCTGGTTCCTTCCCCTGTCAGCTAATGAAGCGATCTTGCCAAAAGACCATAAACTGTTTTAGGTTTTCATTCAGGAAAACAACCTAGAAAGGCACTTAGGAGCCGGGCAGACCTGCTTTCATTAACTATCTTTACAACGTTATTTCTCGACCAATATCACTCCGAAGAATAGAATTTTATCATAGGAAACCCAAGGAAAAAGTTCATTCGCTCAGGCCTCATTTACTTCTAATTGCTTTGGTCCCGGTTCATTACAGCATAGTTAATATCCCCGACATCAATCAGCTAAATCCTCATTTGTTCCAGAGGAGTTTATTTCTCTTGAAAATGTTGGTTTGTTGTTGTTTTTATTTTTCAGTTTTTGATTTTACTTTTAAATGGCACTGCTAAAATAAATATTGCTCATTTGTGATCTTATTCTAGATTGCTTATATCCTCTTAATGACGGTCATATTGCAATGCTTTGTGTATTTAGCTTGTTAAAGCTGAACTCCAGGCAGATATAAAAGACGCATATGTTTAATTTTGAATATAGTGGGGGGTAGTGGTAGTTTTTTTTAAATCGGTTTCCCTTCACATTTAATCATAAACGCAACATGAATTATGTGGCAATCTCTCTAAAGTGAGGGAAATCTCCTCTTAAACAGTTGTTACCAGAACTAGCATTCCCATTGGAAGATTTCGCTTTTGTTATTTTTCTGACAACTCTAAATTTTGGATTTTCTCTTGCGCTCAGTCCCTCTGTCAGCAGTCCCCAGGACAACCGGAGAAAGCAAATCCTCCATAATGGGGACACAGACATCAATGACAGACAGACTGAGTATCTAACCTTTCAGTACTCCATCCAAAACAAAAAAGTATTTAGATACAATTTAATACAGCACTGTATTAATTAATACATTGTCAAATGTTTTTTAAATCCAAGCAGTGCAAGTACCTGGTTTCAAAGGCGTAACTATAGCCATAGCAGCCCAGGCGGCTGCTATGGGGCCTGAGGGTGAAAGAGGGCCCCGTGAAGATAATACAGTCCTGTATTCTTTTTTGCTATGGGGCCCCGTGATCTGTAGTTACGGCCCTGCCTGATATCCTCCTCTTGCAATACAGCAAGCTCAGACTAAGGGAGAGAGAAGCAGCACAAGGAACCAATCAGTTGTTCTACAGTGCTTGAAGAATGCTGATAGAGAGCGGAATGAAAGAGAGATGAGCTAAACCGTTTACGACATCTCCTTTCACTGTGCAGTCCCAGGCTGAGGGAGGTATTAACTGTTACTGATTGCCGCAGAAAATAAATCGTGTTCCCTCCCCTGCCAGGGCTGTGCTATGTAGCAGTGTTTTGTAAATCTTAGGAATGGATGTACAGTAATAAAGATGCTTTCAGAGGCAGTCACGGTTTTGCACGGCCTATGTATTCAGGCAGCTGTAGATGCCGTGGCTGGCTAATTACAGTAGTTGGCAGTGGAGATTCCTCCATCCATGCTGCTAGTGTGAATTGGGGAATTGATTTCCTCTTATTTAGCCTATGGGTGGTTCTACCACCACAGTGACGGCATATGACAGGATAATGATTTTCCACCCGACTTTTGTCGGGTGGAAAATCAGTCGTGTCAGTCGTGTCAGTCCACCCATGGCTTGCATGTTGTCTGATTCAGCAGAAATCAAGCCACGTATGGGGTACCCTATGTTGAAAGCACTGCCTCAGACCCTTCCTATATAGGGATGACTGCTGCTTTGCAAGGGATTATGGAAAGCTAATATAAAAGAGGATTCAGGCATTTATACTAAACATTCAATTCATATAAATATTTTCAGATCTGCTCTGATATATATAATCCTTTCGGCTAGTCACCATAAGCTGCAGCACTTTTCTATAGTATGCCCACATATGTTTTGTAGATAGCTACTTGTATAAAATCCCTGGCGAATGAGATGGAATCCTGCGCCGCACAATGCTTGAAACAATAAGCCGTCATCTGTGACGTATAATAGAATATTGAAAATGAGCATTAATACCGCGCATCACGCAGCAGGCACTGGAGAGGCTCCCGCCAGTCCTCACACAGCCAATTTCTCCTGCCTAACGTCTGTCACAGCCTTGTACAGTCTCAGCGTTCGCCGCAATGAATGCCCGTCTCATCCTGTGGCCAGCATGCAAATAATAAGCATTTATGGGATCCTCGCAGAGCCTGGCCGCGCTGAATCCCTCCAGGAGCAGCCGAGTAAAGTAAATTTAAATCATTATTGAAGGTAATTAAAAGATCAAACTTAATTTTGTGAGAGGTGAGGAACCTGTTTTACTGCTCTGTTAGCTGGAAGATCTAATGCAGACACTGTTACTGCTGCCTGGAAAGCTCCCAAGACCTCTTCCACTATTGAAAACGGCTTCATTGGCTTTCATATAAAGCAAATGAGGTTTTGTTGAGGGAGGGAACGTCTGGGATTCATTTTCTAAAGCTCATCAAACACGTTCTAATCGGATTGTACAATCTCCTTTTAGATCTACCAACAAGTATGTAGTGCAAGGGCCTGCCCGACTGGATACAAATTGACGGAATAGATTAATAAGGCCTTCATCTATGAAGTTGATTTTACATCGATTGTATGATCAATTTGTAACGTGTAATGAAAGTCTAAAGTTTACCCTTTTTGTACAGTTATTTTTAATGTACAAGTCGGTATATGTGCAGTTCTTTAAGGTGGACCTGTATATTTTCATGTTGCATGCATGCCAAGGCCTCATTCACAAGTCCCATATCGGTCATTTTGTGGCACGTATACTGCCGATGCCTGCAGCCAGGATACCTGGTCTTCTGATCAGCAACGCTGAGGCTGCTTAGCCTGTACAATTCAAAGGAACTGGGACTTCTACGCCTGAAAGCATGTATCCGCATATCCAGAATTTACCTTCCATTAGGGACAGATCAGTGGCGGAACAACCACCATAGCGACCCAGGCGGCCGCTATGGGGCACAGGGGGGCCCGGCCAGGACATCCCCCTGATGCTGTGCGGGCCTCCTGGGTCGCTATGGCATCTCAGGCTGCTGGCTGTCACTGGCGGCTGTGAGGAGGAACACGCCGCTGTTCAGATCACTGACAACCCGTCAGTGATTTGTGCAGCGGCGTGCTCCTCCTCACAGCCGCTGTGGAGTCAGTGACAGCCAGCAGCTGTCAGCAGGAGGAGGTGGGGACCGGCCATAGAGGAGTCTATGGTGGGCTCTGCAGGGTCACTTTCAGGTGGGCCTAACTAGAAATCACAGGGCCCCACACAAAATTTTGCTCTGGGGCCCTGTGATTTCTAGTTATGCCCCTGGGACAGATGTTCGGCCCTGGTCGGAGTTGTATGGGTTTAGCTGCCGCCACTGATTGTAACACCTGAAGCCCCTCCACATGTATCCGCAGTATACTTGATACACCATGGCTGATTTAAGACTTGTGAATGAAGCCTAAGTAATGTGTAAGTTTATTACCTTTCACAGAGATCACAGTACTCTCTATGACAATCCATGTCCTTTTCTCTACCAAAAGGATCTTTGTTCAGATATAATTCAGTGGTGGCATCTATTTCCTGCACTGACATGCCGCCTCAGATCACAGTCATGTAAATCCCAGTGCCTGTGCAGTTCTTGGCTGTAATCACAAATGTCTAACATAGGTCAGCCTCACATCTTTGACCTGTTACGATGTTCCAGTCTGATCACTGGGGGAGAGGAGACTGAGGGAATGACTCCTCCTGCCAGCAGCTGACTGATGACATCATAGCCGGGGCAAAGTCACTTTATTACCCAAGGACTGCTTTTTATTAGTAGGAGGTGGAGCTTGTTCAAAAAGTATTATTGTTGCTTTGTATTATGACATGTTGGGAATGTATTCATGTAGACTTGAGACTCACTTTAAAATGTTTGTTTTTTGGGAAGTTAAAAGTACCCATAGATATAACAATAGTGTTAATACCCTTGGAGTTTGGTTATACCAATGTATATTGCCCCCCCATATTTATATGTAAATGGAATGCATGTGTGATAGGAAATTGCTTGCGTCTGTATTATGTGCTCACACAATCTAATCGCTGTATAATGCCTGTGACCAGCTTGAAGGCCAACTCCAGTCTGGTATCTAAGTAAACCATTAAAACCTGTATACAGGGCCACTTTACCTGCCAAAGAGTCTGTAAAATCTGGCTGTATCGTGTGATCCTTCTACTGTTATGTCATACGGCAAAATGGGACCTTGAATTTTACAAAGCCACAAATGTTCCCATGCCCCCTCTCCTGCCTACTCTGAGGACCTTGAGGAGAACTTTGCATTCTTACACTATGTAGTTGTTTTGTCCCTTATGAATATAGGATTATGCAGTACCCATTAGTTTTCTGCCTTTTAGTTTATACGGTATTAACCATATTGATTATTTTTTGTTACAGTATGTTCAAAGACGGCAACAAGAAAACATTCAGCGGCAAAGTCGCGGGGAGCCGCAATTGCCCGAGGAAGACGTGACCAAACTGTTCAAACCCCCTCTTCCCCCGCCTCGTATGGATTCACTTCTCATTGCAGGTAATGTTTTCCATCATCTGTAGACTTGAAGTCCCTTTTAAGTTAAGTTTGCTGCACATTCCTCAGTGATGGTGATTTGGGAAACTCAAGGATAACAGAGCCATCGCTAGATACACAGTACTTAGCCTGGTACTCGGCTATGCTTGCCTGCAAAGGTTGCTGTACCTAAACCTGCTTAGAGCTTTTAAATGACAACAGAGGTCTCAGTTGCATTCACCTACTAATATGTGGTTAAAGTGATATTAAAGTCAAAAGGATTTGAAGCTATTTCAAATGCTGATGAAATCACTTAAACTGGATGCTGCTCCTTGATGTTAAAAGGTTTGTTTCCTGCAGAATCAGCTGGGTCCCTAAGCACTGGTCCTGATATCCTGTTTTAGAGTGACGTCTTTCTCAAGCAGAGTGCTATGCAGTCACCCTTGTGTGTGCTAGTAAGCAGTGTGCGTCTCCACAAACGCACAGAAACCACAAATCAAGCTGTTTGCCTCCCCCCGCCACCCTATCCTTCCTTTTTCCTCCTCCCTTTTTCCTTCTCCTACTCCTCCCTTTTTCTTTCTCCTTCTCTTTTTCCCTCTCCTTCTCTTTCTCCCTTTTTCCTTCTCCCCTTTTTCCTTCTGCTCCTCCTCCCTTTTTCCTTCTCCTCCTCCTCCCTTTTTCCTTCTCCCTTTTTTCCTTCTCCTCCTCCCTTTTTCCTTCTCCTCCTCCCTTTTTCCTTCTCCTCCTCCCTTTTTTCCTTCTCCTCCTCCCTTTTTCCTTCTCCTCCTCCTTTTTTTTCCTTCTCCCCCACCTCCTCCCTTTTTCCTTCTCCTCCTCCCCTTTTCCTTCTCCAAGCTAGTAGATGAACAGTTGCAGGAGTCTGCATTGTCCTTTGTTCTTATACTGGACAGGAAATTTAGGGGAGCGGAGAGATTTGGAAGCAGGTGTTCAGAAACATGATGATTCTAAGTATGTGGACAATGCTTTGCTGGGCAATGTATATTTGTTTGATCTGGATTCATTATAGAAAAAAAGTGAGAGTTTAATACTACTTTAAGCCTTACACCGCTTTAGGACACCCTTTCAAAATGTGTATGTGTGTGTGTCCCTTCATCCATGGGAACAGCAGCACAAGGATGTATAAAGTAATGAAAAAAGCTTCTTCCTAAAAGTAAGATATCCACAACAACTGAAGACGTGTTACCAAATTCAGTATAAATGGAAATGTGGTACAGATTATATATATCCCACAAGTCAGTATTAGGTTCCCTCTAATGGTCAGCAGGGCCAAGTGCTGGGGACCATAAAGGTCAACACAATGGTCCCTAGCACTCAGCCCTGCTGACCTTGCAGTGACTTGCCCCTATCACTTAGGCCTGGTTCACACCTGGGCGTTTTGTAGCGCGTTCGAACGCTCTGCAAAACGCTCAAACACCGAAATCCCATTTCTTATGGGTATGGTTCACACCTGGGCGTATTACAGGCCGTATGAACGCGCTACAAAACATCCTATGCCCAAAGAAGTACAGGAGCTTCTTTGGGGCGTTTTTGTCGCACGTTTCCATTGGGATACAGCCAAGTAGCCCTCGGAAACGCGTGTTTGCCGTGCGTTTTTTTTACCGCGAATCGCGGTAAAAACACGCGTCACGAAACGCTTGACAAACACGCATATTCGATACGCCTGGGTGTGAACCCAGCCTTACACCTACTATGCGAGTTATAAAATGAAAAACTGCTTGCCATCCCTACTACCGGGTTGCATTTTTTGGAGCACTTTTAACCTTGGAACCGGACTTGTTTTTTTACAGTAAATTTGGCAACCTTGCTTTAACAGCAAACAGCCTAAAGGGCTATAACTCTGCAATAGCCAGATTTATAGACTTGCACTCCCATACTAGGGGTAATTGAGGTAATTCATTAAGGCCAATGAACCGGCCTACATGTCTTTGGAGTGTGGGAGGAAACCAGAAGAACCCAAAGTAATCCCACAAAGCAATCCCACAAAGCACAGGGAGAACATGCAAACTCCATGCCAATAGTATCCTGACTTGGATTCAGACGGAAGACCCCCGGTGCTGCAAGGCACAAGTGCCAACCACTGAGCTACTGCTGTTACTTTCATCTCTATTTAAAAATTACATTAATACATACAAAGGTAATAAAAGTACATGAGACTAGATTCCTTGTACTACTATCAAGATTCTAGCTAGGAAAGTTTCACACCCGAAAATGGTATCTGCAGGTCGTATGACACTTAATCTACACTTGTAGAACCGTGTCTGCAGACAACCATTCTCTACACAGAACCTTCACCAGGTGCTAATATGTCACCACACATCTCCCCCCTTTCTACATGATAATACAGC